ACTCAAGGGGCTTCCATAGCCTTGGAAACTCATGACTGGAGCATAGGGAGATTACTGATGCCATAGACAGGAGTGTCAATTGGTAAAGTCAACAACAGGAGTCACTGTGCACTTACTCCTCATGTAGGATCTCTGTCCTTAATGTGCTGTGCATTGAGATTTAATGCTATAATGAGTACTCAAATAATATATTTCACTTTGTGTTTCTATGGGGGTGCAAACTGTTGAAATCTTTACTTAATGCATACTAAACTGATCCTCTGTAAAAAAAAAAAAAAAAAAAAAGAAAAGAAAAGAAAAGAAACTATCAACTCCCAACTTGACTCTCACTGGGATTAAACATGACAATAGGTCTGATCTGATTTCATCATCATTAAAAAAAATCATCTATTATTTTTCACTTTATGTTTCTGTGTGAGAGCAAACTGTTGAAATCCTTACTTAATGTATACTAAGCTGATCTTCTGTATATTAAGATAATCGAAAATGAATCTTGATGTGAATGGAAGGGGAGAGGGAGTGGGAAAGGGGAGGGATGTGGGTGGGACGGTATGGGGGGGAAGCCATAGTAATCCATTATTCGTACTTTGGAAACGTATATTCATTAAATAAAAGTTAAAAAAAAAAAAAGACTACTTCACATATTAGTTAAGGGTACAGGTAGGTATTACTAGTCCCTGAACACTAAAAGTACTCCTGGTCAGTCCCCTCAGATTGACACTGTCAACATTAACTCTTTGCTGAATCCACTATGTAAATACTAAATACAGGGGTGTAAAACAAGTTTTATAAAGTGATCTGGAAAGGTTTTATACAACCCTAGTACTTCATGGCTTAAAAATCTCCTCTTATGGAAAATTAGCAACTGACTCAATGACTGGATTTGATGTGATTTTATTTTTCCTCCATTCCCTGTATTGTCTATGTCTTCTATAGTGAATGCGCACTTACAAAGAATAAAATTAAGATGAGCTGCACTCTATAGCTCAAGGTCCCATCAATCCCGACCTTGCTTTGCATAAATAGAGTACAACAGAAATCAGGCACATCAAACTTTCTTTATAGAACTACAAGTGAGTGGCAAATCTAGATAGTACACTCCAGAACTGTACTGTCCCAGCCAGTGGCCACTACCAATCATGGGTGACATGCTGGACACACTACATGTGACTAGCCCAAGCCAAAATGGGCTGTAAATGCAAAAATAAGCATTGGATTTTAAACACTGTGGTCCCAAAAAAAGTAAAGAAACCCCTTAATAGTTTTCAGCATATCAATTAAATGTTGAAATGATAGTACTTTGGGTATATTAGGCTAAAAAACCACTGAAGTTGATTTCACATCATTTTCAAATGAGGATACTGGAAGTGAACATACAGATTGCACTAATTCATATTTTCACTGTAAAGTGCTGCTCTAGGACAAAATTATTCAAGTAAAGCCAGCAGCATGGCCATCAGTTGGGATCCTGTTCAAAGGCAGGTCTTTGGGCCCCAGCCCCAAAGTGCTAAGCAGAATATGCATTTTAACAAGACCCCCGTTTGTTCAATATACACACTGAATACTGAGAAGCACTGTTAAAGAAAACCTGTATTTTCCCTACGTGTGACAATCTCACTTTTTTAAAATTTATCTATTTATTAAAATGCTACAAGGGGTCATGACAATTCTAGACAACAAGAACACAAGGTGGATAAAAAATGCAAAAACAAATTTCATTACCATTACCTGTTTTGGTGGAGTTTCTGTTCCACAGAAGACAACAAATTAAAAATAACAATCCAGTTCTTCTATGAACGCTTGTTTTTAAAAATGCAACTTTGTGCAAAAACAACTGATGTTTCATGGGTTTTCAAACCATCCTATTAATGCACCAAGAACATATCATAGTGTCTGTGCAAAACTGCCAGTATCAGTAGAAAAAAAAGGCTGAAAATCAATTAAAATACCATAGAGTGTCTACTGAGCCACAAGATGTTAGGAAAATCTAAAGGTGTCCACTTAAAAACTTTACCAAAAATATACTAAAAATATACAAGAAACATTTCAATTTGAAATGCAGCACACAGAGAAAAAACAGCAAATGACAAAATTAGTGTAAAATTAGTGCACAAGAACACTGCGCTGATAAAGACAACGGACTCATTTAGAGGAAGAAGCTGTTCTGGTCTCCAAAGTCCTTTTCTGTATTCCACTGCACCTGTTTATTCTACAGAGATGCATTACTCAAAACTAGAACAAGCAGTTACTCACGTTCCCATGTTTCTGACTGATTATAATTTAATAAAAGGAATCGAGCCCACAGGAAACTGAAAAAAGGTTTCATTCTCTCTCCTCCACACTCCCACTTAGTTATCTGCCACCCAAGAGAACTTATACAGAGAATCTGTTACTTATTCACAAGACTATACCAAAAACATCCTTATGTGTGATTAATCTCCAAAAATGTGAATTTCTGAAGAGCTCCTAGTGGAAGTGGGGTACATAGACACTCAAGGATTTGCTGAATAAACAACAACAAGCCTGTAAGCTCACACAATGAAAGAAAAGCTTTATCTGATTAAATTAAGTATAGGGCATGCTGCCTCCTTTTAAATGAAAAAAAAATGTAGTTAGTTTGAAGAACAGCTGATGGTAAATCAGTTTTTTTTTTATTTTTCAAATGCTGTTTGTATATCCTCTGTATTTCTCTCCCATTTTACACTGTAAGTTACATATAGGCATTAATACTAAAAGTATACAAATACTCGTTCACTTTGAAAAAAATCATCTCATTTCCAAGAAAATATACAACAGATCCAATATGGCTGAATATGGTATAGCAACAATAACACGTTGCAGCCATTTGGGTAGTGAACCAGGGAAAGGGAAGACCTTTCTCTCAGTCTCTCCCTCCCACTATCTGTAACTCTACCTCTCAAATAAATAAAATCCTTAAAGAAAATTCATATGGAATCACAAAAGGCCACAAATAGTTGGAGCGATCTAGAGTAAGAAAGCCCAACCTGGATAAATCATAATACTCTGTTTCAAAGCATTCTACAAAGTTACAGTAATTAAAACAGCTCAGTAATGGCAGAAAATCCAACATGTAGCTCAATGCAACAGAACAGCGAGCCCAGAATTTAATCCACATACAGATAGCCAGTTGACTTCTGACAAAAGTGCTCAGACCACACAGTGGAATTAAGGGTAATATTTTCAAAATGGCGCTGGCAAAACTGGATGCATATACGTAGAAGAACGAAAGTAGATCCGCATCTCTCTTCACATACAAAAATCAACTGAAGATGCATCAAAGACCCAATTTAAGACCTGACATTATGGACATTATGAGGTTGCTGGAAGAAAACGTAAGGGAAACTCTCAAAGACATTGGTGTAGGAACAACTTCTTGGATGGGAACCCCGAAGCACAGGCAACAAAAGTAAAACTAAGGAACTAGGGCTATATCGAACTCGGAAACAAAGGACGTGACAATTCGAGTGGAGAGACATCCAGCAGAATGGAAAAAATAGTTGCAAACCATCTATCTGCAAAGGATTAATATCCCAAATATACATGCAACTTAAAACAGTCAACAACAACAAAATCAATCCAGTTCGGAAATGGAAAAGGATTTCAACAGACAATTCTCAGATAGAAGAAATACAAATGGCAAATGAACATACGGGAAAATGCTCAACATCTCCAGGCTTCAGGGAAATTTAAATCAAAACTGCAAGGGGATAATCTCCTCACCCCTATTAGAATGGCGGAAATCCAAACAACGGAGTAACAAATGCTACAAAGGATGTGGGGGAAAATGAACACTTAGACACTGCTGGGAGGCATCTCAGGGAATCAAACAGAAAGAAATGTTTGTGTGTATCAGTATTGCTGCAAATACAGTTTGTAAAACTTTGTTTTATGTCTTTGTGAAACCGACTATGCTAATCCTCCACCTAGCAGTGCCGGCACACCGGGTTCTAGTCCTGGTCGGGGCGCCGGATTCTGTCCCGGTTGCCCCTCTTCCAGGCCAGCCCTCTGCTGTGGCCAGGGATTGCAGTGGAGGATGGCCCAAGTGCTTGGGCCCTGCACCCCATGGGAGACCAGAAAAAGCACCTGGCTCCTGGCATCGGATCAGCGTGGTGTGCCGGCCGCAGTGCACCAGCCGCGGCGGCCATTGGAGGGTGAACCAACGGCAAAGGAAGACCTTTCTCTCTGTCTCTCTCTCTCTCACTGTCCACTCTGCCTGTCAAAAAATAAAAAATAAATAAAAAAATAAAAAAAGAATGTTATCCTACCACAATTTTAATGATCTATAATTACTTACAGATTTACCACATAGGGATGAAACGATCATTTTTCTATTCAACTACTGTTGACAGTCATTGTCTATAGTCTCACTAAACTGGTATAATTTTGTTTTTTACTCGTTAAACTTAACTAGTAAAGTATTAAGCCTTTTTACTGCAACGTAATTTGAAAATTGGCTCAAAATCTAAACCAAAGACAGAAAGAAAAAGGAGAAGGAAACACAGTGGAAAGGAGAAAGGGGGAGGGAGGAAGGCAATATCATTGTGTTCTTACAGTTGTGTCTACCGTGCACACTGAGTCTGCTAAACACTAATTAAAAGAAAAGAAATACAAAGAAAACCAATGCACATTACTTTGTTTCCCACAACACTGCTTACCCATTTGCCAAACTGCAAAAATTCAATATAGAACTAAGAAAATAAGGTACATTCAATAAATAACAATTATTGAAGTGTATTAACTATAAACGGGATATGTTAAAGAAAACCTACATATACTGTCACAAAACTTCACATAGTACCAAAGCATTTACATAAGATGTGTGTACACATGAAAAAGATGAAGATTATTTGCAGAGAAATAAATGTATGAAGGAAATTAAATTAAAACACGTTGTAAATTCTTAATTTCCTTTTAAAACCGCTACTAAACTGTAATGATTTTTAGAATTCAGAGGGGCAAGGATTTGAAATCTTGATTACCAAGCCAATGAAGGTCACCTGCATTCCATCCTTGAAGTACCCAGGTTCAGTATCCACCTGTGGCTCCTGACTCTAGCTTCCTATTAATGTGGATGGAGAAGGCAGTTGTGAAGGCTCAAGAAATCGGGTTCCTGTTTCTGGCTCTTGAGTCCAGCTTCCTGTAATGTGGACCAGGAGGGCAGTGGATAGGACCCAGGTATTTGGGTACCCATCATCCTTGCTGGAAACACGGAATGGTTCTCCAGTCCTCAACTCAGCCAGGCTCAGGCCCAGTAGTTGTGGGAATTAGGAAGTCAACCAGCAGATGAGAACCCTCTTTATGTCTGTTTTCAGCACTGTGTGTGTGTGCGCGCGTGCATGTACCTGTATGGGTATGAGTATCTGCCTCTGAAATAAATCTTAAGAATAGATAAAGATCACCCACTTTTGAAGAATTTTAACTTTATTTATTTAAGAGGCAAAGAGACGGAGCACTCCCATTTACTCCCTCACTCCTTAAATGCCTGCAGCAGCTAGGACTGGGTCAGGCTGAAGTTAGGAGCCAGGAACCCAGTCTCCCATGTAGCTGACAAGTACCCAGACACTTTTGCCATCACCTGATGTCTCCCCAGGACACACATTAGCGGGAAAGCTGGAATTGGAAATGGATCCAGAATTCAAATCCAGGCACTGGAACACAGGGCACAGACATCCCAAGGAGAAACTTAACTCCCACATCATATGTGCGCCCCCAAGAATCCGACAAATGACACACAAAGGCTGTTAGCCTAAAGCTAGTGTTAGGGGCACTTGCAAAGCTAGAGAAAACTCCCTTGCAATTGACTATCTTCCTTCCCCTTCATTTTGTCGAATATGACTGTTATGACCAGTTTTCCTCCCCAACCTGTTAATCTGTAGTGCCTACCTGATGCTGACGCCACTGCCATCTCAAGCCGCCACCGCCGGCCTCTCTCTTCCGCTGCCCAACGCAGAGCCACCGCCGCCGCCTGCTTCGCTGCTGCTGCCCATCGCGTCAGCACCGCCACTCCTACCTGCTTCCTCGCCGGCCACCGACGCTCCACATCGCCGGACTCTGCACCAGAATGGCCCTGCCACCGCGCCTTTCCTCGCCGCCACCGCTGCCTGCCCACGAAATGCGCTGTCCAGAGCAGGACGCCCCACGGGATGCCCACGCCGACCCCCACCGCTTCCTGCTTCTCCTGGTTCTCCGCTGTGCTGCCGCCAGTGAAGACTGAGACTTCCCGCCTAGGAAGCCCCAGGATTCAGTTAGGTCGAGGCAGAGCCACCCTTCCCCGCCCAGGACGCCCGACACGGAGCCGCCACCGCCGCCTCTATCCGCGCCACCCCTCACCCTCCCTACCGCCGCCTCCTTCAGCGCCGCTGCCCAGGCCTACACCAACACCGGCCCCACCCACCTCTGCTTCCTCGCTGAACGCCAACGTCTCGGTTTCTCAGAAGAATCTTTACCACCACCCGCCGATGAACTGAGCCGCCCCACCCACAACGTTTACGTGACCCCGACGCTACGTTCGCTGACGCTGACCCCGACGCCGCTCAGGACGCTGGGACGCTGACGGTGACCCAGACGCTGCATTCGACGCTGCGTCGGGGTCAGCGTCAGCGTGCGCAGCGTTGGGTTCGCGTGGAATGGGGAAGAAGGATGTAGCGGCAGCACTCGTCTTCTGAGACCCCGAGAAGTCGGAGGTCATTGAGGAAGCCGCCACCAGAGAAGACTGAGGCTTCCTGCCTAGGAAAGCTGATCGCCAACGGCTGCTAGACGTCGTATAGAGTCGATACCGCTGCTGCATCCTTCCTCGCCACTGCCCGCCAATGAGCTGAGCCACCCCGCCCACGACGTTTACGTGATCCATACGCTACGCACGCTGACGCTGACCCCGACGCTACGCCGGATGCTGAGACTTCCCGCCTAGGAAGCCCCAGGATTCAGTTAGGTCGAGGCAGAGCCACCCTTCCCCGCCCAGGACGCCCGACACGGAGCCGCCACCGCCGCCTCTATCCGCGCCACCCCTCACCCTCCCTACCGCCGCGGTAGGGAGGGTGAGGGGTGGCGCGGATAGAGGCGGCGGTGGCGGCTCCGTGTCGGGCGTCCTGGGCGGGGAAGGGTGGCTCTGCCTCGACCTAACTGAATCCTGGGGCTTCCTAGGCGGGAAGTCTCAGTCTTCACTGGCGTAGCGTCGGAGTCAGCGTCGGCGTGCGTAGCGTATGGATCACGTAAACGTCGTGGGCGGGGTGGCTCAGCTCATTGGCGGGCAGTGGCGAGGAAGGATGCAGCAGCGGTAGCGACTCTATACGACGTCTAGCAGCCGTTGGCGATCAGCTTTCCTAGGCAGGAAGCCTCAGTCTTCTCTGGTGGCGGCTTCCTCAATGACCTCCGACTTCTCGGGGTCTCAGAAGACGAGTGCTGCCGCTACATCCTTCTTCCCCATTCCACGCGAACCCAACGCTGCGCACGCTGACGCTGACCCCGACGCAGCGTCGAATGCAGCGTCTGGGTCACCGTCAGCGTCCCAGCGTCCTGAGCGGCGTCGGGGTCAGCGTCAGCGAACGTAGCGTCGGGGTCACGTAAACGTTGTGGGTGGGGCGGCTCAGTTCATCGGCGGGTGGTGGTAAAGATTCTTCTGAGAAACCGAGACGTTGGCGTTCAGCGAGGAAGCAGAGGTGGGTGGGGCCGGTGTTGGTGTAGGCCTGGGCAGCGGCGCTGAAGGAGGCGGCGGTAGGGAGGGTGAGGGGTGGCCTCGACCTAACTGAATCCTGGGGCTTCCTAGGCGGGAAGTCTCAGTCTTCACTGGCGGCAGCACAGCCGAGAACCAGGAGAAGCAGGAAGCGGTGGGGGTCGGCGAGGGCATCCCGTGGGGCGTCCTGCTCTGGACAGCGCATTTCGTGGGCAGGCAGCGGTGGCGGCGAGGAAAGGCGCGGTGGCAGGGCCATTCTGGTGCAGAGTCCGGCGATGTGGAGCGTCGGTGGCCGGCGAGGAAGCAGGTAGGAGTGGCGGTGCTGACGCGATGGGCAGCAGCAGCGAAGCAGGCGGCGGCGGTGGCTCTGCGTTGGGCAGCGGAAGAGAGAGGCCGGCGGTGGCGGCTTGAGATGGCAGTGGCGTCAGCATCAGGTAGGCACTACAGATTAACAGGTTGGGGAGGAAAACTGGTCATAACAGTCATATTCGACAAAATGAAGGGGAAGGAAGATAGTCAATTGCAAGGGAGTTTTCTCTAGCTTTGCAAGTGCCCCTAACACTAGCTTTAGGCTAACAGCCTTTGTGTGTCATTTGTCGGATTCTTGGGGGCGCACATATGATGTGGGAGTTAAGTTTCTCCTTGGGATGTCTGTGCCCTGTGTTCCAGTGCCTGGATTTGAATTCTGGATCCATTTCCAATTCCAGCTTTCCCGCTAATGTGTGTCCTGAGGAGACATCAGGTGATGGCAAAAGTGTCTGGGTACTTGTCAGCTACATGGGAGACTGGGTTCCTGGCTCCTAACTTCAGCCTGACCCAGTCCTAGCTGCTGCAGGCATTTAAGGAGTGAGGGAGTAAATGGGAGTGCTCCGTCTCTTTGCCTCTTAAATAAATAAAGTTAAAATTCTTCAAAAGTGGGTGATCTTTATCTATTCTTAAGATTTATTTCAGAGGCAGATACTCATACCCATACAGGTACATGCACGCGCGCACACACACACAGTGCTGAAAACAGACATAAAGAGGGTTCTCATCTGCTGGTTGACTTCCTAATTCCCACAACTACTGGGCCTGAGCCTGGCTGAGTTGAGGACTGGAGAACCATTCCGTGTTTCCAGCAAGGATGATGGGTACCCAAATACCTGGGTCCTATCCACTGCCCTCCTGGTCCACATTACAGGAAGCTGGACTCAAGAGCCAGAAACAGGAACCCGATTTCTTGAGCCTTCACAACTGCCTTCTCCATCCACATTAATAGGAAGCTAGAGTCAGGAGCCACAGGTGGATACTGAACCTGGGTACTTCAAGGATGGAATGCAGGTGACCTTCATTGGCTTGGTAATCAAGATTTCAAATCCTTGCCCCTCTGAATTCTAAAAATCATTACAGTTTAGTAGCGGTTTTAAAAGGAAATTAAGAATTTACAACATGTTTTAATTTAATTTCCTTCATACATTTATTTCTCTGCAAATAATCTTCATCTTTTTCATGTGTACACACATCTTATGTAAATGCTTTGGTACTATGTGAAGTTTTGTGACAGTATATGTAGGTTTTCTTTAACATATCCCGTTTATAGTTAATACACTTCAATAATTGTTATTTATTGAATGTACCTTATTTTCTTAGTTCTATATTGAATTTTTGCAGTTTGGCAAATGGGTAAGCAGTGTTGTGGGAAACAAAGTAATGTGCATTGGTTTTCTTTGTATTTCTTTTCTTTTAATTAGTGTTTAGCAGACTCAGTGTGCACGGTAGACACAACTGTAAGAACACAATGATATTGCCTTCCTCCCTCCCCCTTTCTCCTTTCCACTGTGTTTCCTTCTCCTTTTTCTTTCTGTCTTTGGTTTAGATTTTGAGCCAATTTTCAAATTACGTTGCAGTAAAAAGGCTTAATACTTTACTAGTTAAGTTTAACGAGTAAAAAACAAAATTATACCAGTTTAGTGAGACTATAGACAATGACTGTCAACAGTAGTTGAATAGAAAAATGATCGTTTCATCCCTATGTGGTAAATCTGTAAGTAATTATAGATCATTAAAATTGTGGTAGGATAACATTCTTTTTTTATTTTTTTATTTATTTTTTATTTTTTGACAGGCAGAGTGGACAGTGAGAGAGAGAGAGACAGAGAGAAAGGTCTTCCTTTGCCGTTGGTTCACCCTCCAATGGCCGCCGCGGCTGGTGCACTGCGGCCGGCACACCACGCTGATCCGATGCCAGGAGCCAGGTGCTTTTTCTGGTCTCCCATGGGGTGCAGGGCCCAAGCACTTGGGCCATCCTCCACTGCAATCCCTGGCCACAGCAGAGGGCTGGCCTGGAAGAGGGGCAACCGGGACAGAATCCGGCGCCCCGACCAGGACTAGAACCCGGTGTGCCGGCACTGCTAGGTGGAGGATTAGCATAGTCGGTTTCACAAAGACATAAAACAAAGTTTTACAAACTGTATTTGCAGCAATACTGATACACACAAACATTTCTTTCTGTTTGATTCCCTGAGATGCCTCCCAGCAGTGTCTAAGTGTTCATTTTCCCCCACATCCTTTGTAGCATTTGTTACTCCGTTGTTTGGATTTCCGCCATTCTAATAGGGGTGAGGAGATTATCCCCTTGCAGTTTTGATTTAAATTTCCCTGAAGCCTGGAGATGTTGAGCATTTTCCCGTATGTTCATTTGCCATTTGTATTTCTTCTATCTGAGAATTGTCTGTTGAAATCCTTTTCCATTTCCGAACTGGATTGATTTTGTTGTTGTTGACTGTTTTAAGTTGCATGTATATTTGGGATATTAATCCTTTGCAGATAGATGGTTTGCAACTATTTTTTCCATTCTGCTGGATGTCTCTCCACTCGAATTGTCACGTCCTTTGTTTCCGAGTTCGATATAGCCCTAGTTCCTTAGTTTTACTTTTGTTGCCTGTGCTTCGGGGTTCCCATCCAAGAAGTTGTTCCTACACCAATGTCTTTGAGAGTTTCCCTTACGTTTTCTTCCAGCAACCTCATAATGTCCATAATGTCAGGTCTTAAATTGGGTCTTTGATGCATCTTCAGTTGATTTTTGTATGTGAAGAGAGATGCGGATCTACTTTCGTTCTTCTACGTATATGCATCCAGTTTTGCCAGCGCCATTTTGAAAATATTACCCTTAATTCCACTGTGTGGTCTGAGCACTTTTGTCAGAAGTCAACTGGCTATCTGTATGTGGATTAAATTCTGGGCTCGCTGTTCTGTTGCATTGAGCTACATGTTGGATTTTCTGCCATTACTGAGCTGTTTTAATTACTGTAACTTTGTAGAATGCTTTGAAACAGAGTATTATGATTTATCCAGGTTGGGCTTTCTTACTCTAGATCGCTCCAACTATTTGTGGCCTTTTGTGATTCCATATGAATTTTCTTTAAGGATTTTATTTATTTGAGAGGTAGAGTTACAGATAGTGGGAGGGAGAGACTGAGAGAAAGGTCTTCCCTTTCCCTGGTTCACTACCCAAATGGCTGCAACGTGTTATTGTTGCTATACCATATTCAGCCATATTGGATCTGTTGTATATTTTCTTGGAAATGAGATGATTTTTTTCAAAGTGAACGAGTATTTGTATACTTTTAGTATTAATGCCTATATGTAACTTACAGTGTAAAATGGGAGAGAAATACAGAGGATATACAAACAGCATTTGAAAAATAAAAAAAAAACTGATTTACCATCAGCTGTTCTTCAAACTAACTACATTTTTTTTTCATTTAAAAGGAGGCCAGCATGCCCTATACTTAATTTAATCAGATAAAGCTTTTCTTTCATTGTGTGAGCTTACAGGCTTGTTGTTGTTTATTCAGCAAATCCTTGAGTGTCTATGTACCCCACTTCCACTAGGAGCTCTTCAGAAATTCACATTTTTGGAGATTAATCACACATAAGGATGTTTTTGGTATAGTCTTGTGAATAAGTAACAGATTCTCTGTATAAGTTCTCTTGGGTGGCAGATAACTAAGTGGGAGTGTGGAGGAGAGAGAATGAAACCTTTTTTCAGTTTCCTGTGGGCTCGATTCCTTTTATTAAATTATAATCAGTCAGAAACATGGGAACGTGAGTAACTGCTTGTTTTAGTTTTGAGTAATGCATCTCTGTAGAATAAACAGGTGCAGTGGAATACAGAAAAGGACTTTGGAGACCAGAACAGCTTCTTCCTCTAAATGAGTCCGTTGTCTTTATCAGCGCAGTGTTCTTGTGCACTAATTTTACACTAATTTTGTCATTTGCTGTTTTTTCTCTGTGTGCTGCATTTCAAATTGAAATGTTTCTTGTATATTTTTAGTATATTTTTGGTAAAGTTTTTAAGTGGACACCTTTAGATTTTCCTAACATCTTGTGGCTCAGTAGACACTCTATGGTATTTTAATTGATTTTCAGCCTTTTTTTTCTACTGATACTGGCAGTTTTGCACAGACACTATGATATGTTCTTGGTGCATTAATAGGATGGTTTGAAAATCCATGAAACATCAGTTGTTTTTGCACAAAGTTGCATTTTTAAAAACAAGCGTTCATAGAAGAACTGGATTGTTATTTTTAATTTGTTGTCTTCTGTGGAACAGAAACTCCACCAAAACAGGTAATGGTAATGAAATTTGTTTTTGCATTTTTATCCACCTTGTGTTCTTGTTGTCTAGAATTGTCATGACCCCTTGTAGCATTTTAATAAATAGATAAATTTTAAAAAAGTGAGATTGTCACACGTAGGGAAAATACAGGTTTTCTTTAACAGTGCTTCTCAGTATTCAGTGTGTATATTGAACAAACGGGGGTCTTGTTAAAATGCATATTCTGCTTAGCACTTTGGGGCTGGGGCCCAAAGACCTGCCTTTGAACAGGATCCCAACTGATGGCCATGCTGCTGGCTTTACTTGAATAATTTTGTCCTAGAGCAGCACTTTACAGTGAAAATATGAATTAGTGCAATCTGTATGTTCACTTCCAGTATCCTCATTTGAAAATGATGTGAAATCAACTTCAGTGGTTTTTTAGCCTAATATACCCAAAGTACTATCATTTCAACATTTAATTGATATGCTGAAAACTATTAAGGGGTTTCTTTACTTTTTTTGGGACCACAGTGTTTAAAATCCAATGCTTATTTTTGCATTTACAGCCCATTTTGGCTTGGGCTAGTCACATGTAGTGTGTCCAGCATGTCACCCATGATTGGTAGTGGCCACTGGCTGGGACAGTACAGTTCTGGAGTGTACTATCTAGATTTGCCACTCACTTGTAGTTCTATAAAGAAAGTTTGATGTGCCTGATTTCTGTTGTACTCTATTTATGCAAAGCAAGGTCGGGATTGATGGGACCTTGAGCTATAGAGTGCAGCTCATCTTAATTTTATTCTTTGTAAGTGCGCATTCACTATAGAAGACATAGACAATACAGGGAATGGAGGAAAAATAAAATCACATCAAATCCAGTCATTGAGTCAGTTGCTAATTTTCCATAAGAGGAGATTTTTAAGCCATGAAGTACTAGGGTTGTATAAAACCTTTCCAGATCACTTTATAAAACTTGTTTTACACCCCTGTATTTAGTATTTACATAGTGGATTCAGCAAAGAGTTAATGTTGACAGTGTCAATCTGAGGGGACTGACCAGGAGTACTTTTAGTGTTCAGGGACTAGTAATACCTACCTGTACCCTTAACTAATATGTGAAGTAGTCTTTTAGTTAGGTTTAAGTTCGAGTGCCTGTACTTTGATTACACTGGGCACACTCTTGAGTTTTTGTATATATTGTCTTGTGAGTGTTACAAATTTGGCTGAAATCCTGTGTATATAATACTTTTAAAGTAGTTAATTAAATGCTTGGTCATTAATGCCATAAATTATTAGATTTATTCAACTGGATGTACAATGTCAAGGAAGAATCATTTGTTATTACTTGGGACTCTGGCACCCAATATTGGAATGCCTGGTTTGCAAGTTCTGGTTCCACTCCCATATCCTGGGTGAGGTTGGATCACTGCCATACATGCGGCATACCTGGCTTGGATAACTATCTTAGTTTTCTTCACCATCATCTCCCTAGACCCACAAACAGTGTGATTTGCATCTGCATTAAGTAGTCGAGTTAATGTCCTGGGGCCAAGCCATCTAATGCCCAGCAGTAGAACTAATGCTTGACAGCAGAGACGATTCTACCTGCTGTTAGCAAGACAGTCAGTGTGTGTATATTTGACAAAGGTAGGTAGTGATGGAACAAGGACGGAAGCCTCAGCCATTTTAGGTATCTGTTCCCCTTACCTTCTTTCAGGGGACCAATTTAGTCTCACAACGTGCTGTTCTCCACCCCACCCCCTGCATTCTGCCCCATGTTTGGAAGCCAGGGGGCCAAACTTGAAAAACTTGATTGGAGAAGCTTACCTCTACTTACTGCCCCCCCCCACCCCTAGTGCACCTAAGATACAAAAAGGCCCAGCCAATTGGGGTCTGGGCACCCTGGTGTATATTGTGTGTGTGTGTGTGTGTATGTGTGTGTGTGTGTGTGTGCACGCACGCACATGCTGGCATTTGGTCACCAATCTCTGCGGATTTATTTTCTTTGGATAAGCTTTGTCTGGCTATGAGTTCGCATTCTGTCTTTTCTCTGATCTGCGCCCTTTTGCTTATATTTGGTGCCCCGTGTGAGAAGCAAAGGGAGGAGCCGGCATCTTGCCCCAGTCTGCCACTCTAGTATTCTCTGGGTGAGAGCTGTGACCCCCCCCACCCTTCATCTGGACAAATTCTTCCCCTTTTTAGTGTCTCCACCCGCCCCTAACCTTCTCTTTCCTACAATCGCCTTTTTCCCTTCTGACCTGGAAGACCCTATTCCAGAACATTTTCTCACTCTCGCTTGTACTTCTCATTTTGAGCGAATTCACAGCCAGAGCCTTTGCCTGATCTCATCATCACATGCCCACATCGGACCTAGTCTTCAGCCCATCAGATTGGTAAGAGAGGTCACTCTTCACCGCATGCCTGCTGGGGCGATGCTCGTGACCAGTTCATCCCCCCTCGTAGGGCCTGGGTGTTTAGTTGGTTTCTATCTCTGTCTCCTCTTAGAGGACTCAGGACTTAAGTTCTCGGTTGAGGTGATTCTTTCCCAGGGAAGCCCTGCTACAAGAACCTGTTCCCTCAGGCCATAGTTTGTTTAATCCATGGGCTCCAAATTTCAACTCCCTTCTGGCCTGTCTCTGAAAAGACTTGCACAAGCTGGGCCTGAAGGGGGAGACAAAGCCAAAGCTGTTACTCCACCTCAGCACGAATTTGGTGGTTTTTTCTTTTTTTTGTCTCAAAATTCTCCAAGATTTTAATACTTACGTAGAGAAAAGGCAGATGGTCAGAAGCCCCTATTCCAAGCCTTTTTCCTCCATTGGGGTCAACTTTCCTCACTCTGATTTCTCATGGAGGAAGAAGGCCTGGAGCCACCCCTTAAATCGTCAGCCTGCCCACCCCATCCTTTCTCCCGCACCTGATAAGCTGGCCTCTCGGGAACACAGGCCTTTGCTCACTCCATTCCCCTTCTTTCTCTAGCGCCTCCTTTTCCCTCTCCACTGGCAACAAGGAAAGTTACCACCCTTCCAACTTCTTCTCCCCTGAATTCTCTTTCTCCTGCTCTTCCTGAGGGAGCTAAAACTCTCTGTAAGCTCTCCTCCCCTCCCTCATATCATCCTCTCTGAGATCCTGGCCCAGGAGTGTGACCCTCCTCCCTGCCCACCCCAGGGTCCTCCCAAGCGTCCATCTGGTGATTCCTGTCTGGCTGACCCACCTGATTCCCATTCAGTAAGCCTCCTCTGACGGCAGCTTTTCTCATTCCAAGCCCACAAACCAGAGAAACACTTGGAATCTCCCCTCGCACCCTCGACTTTCCCTTCCACTGTTCTCTCAAGGATGCTGCAGCCTCGGGACCATGACTCTCTCCTTACCCTTGTCCCCTGTCTGGCTCTTAACCACTCCTGTCACCGGCAGCCAAAACTGCCTCTTTCCTCTCTTCCTGACCTCTCCTCTCCAGTCTCCTTTGCCAGTCCAGTCCCTCCCCCTGGGCGTAGATAGATAGTCTAAAGTCTAGCAGAATGTGCATTGCTCTGGAAAGCTCTGCAACTGAGACATGCCAAGCTCCAAAGACAATGCACTGTCAACTTCAACTAGGAGCCTTTCTCACTTCTGCCCACCTTATCAGGGTCCGTGTGGTGCTCAGCACCTCCCCCAACAAGAGCTTAAGAAAGGACTCTGCCTGCTGCTCAGGTGCAATGAAGCCTGACTTCAGCACCACCACCCACACTCCCACACTCCACCCTCTGTCTCACAAGCTCAGCCCCTGCTCTCTTTACAGTACCCCCCCTTCTGTCCTGACTAAAATAAAATAGTCATTTCTACCTGTCTCTTCACCCTCCTATGAACCCTAAAATCCTAAAAACTAAATGTAATGGAGCTGCACCTCACATTTCTCCTCTCACATCTAAGTTCTCTGTTGCACAAAGACAGAACCTCTGCTCCAGCCATCTCTAATAATATATTTTGCAGAACTGAAAAAAAAAACTGAGGCGCAGTAGTAAGTCCTGAGCAACTTTGTTCCAAAGAATGCTCCATGCCTCGTTGTCTTCCGTCTTTTCCCCTCCGTTGTCTAGTGGCAGACAAAAATCTCTCTGCTACTAACAAACTGTTTTGTCGTTCTCCCTTGTACTGTGTCATATGTATGCACGTATTGTATGTCTTCATGGAAAATTCATTAACAGCTCCCTGTTTCAATTGGGTTACACTTGTGTTAGATATTTGAGAAGTATTTCCAACTGTATGCACTCTTAAAATGGGTTGAAGGCATTGGACCTTTCAGTACATGTTTTCACAAGTTATTTGACAGCTAAAATTGTTTGCTAAGTTTTCACTGGATTTTAAGTTACTGACAGTAAGCAATCTGGAAAGCCTGACTTGTTCCCTCATTTCTCTAGTCTCTTCAAGATGGGAAACTGATTGTATTCTGCAGAACTCCCCATCAGGGTGTACAGTTTGATCTTCAGACCTTGTATTAGACAGTTTGGATAGGGTAGTCTTAATGTTTTGATCTTACATGGAAGAACATAAATCTCCTCATTGGCATCATCTTACCTCACGGGAAGAATATTGTCGTAACATGCCTGTGACTGTAGATTTCCAGCTCAGGCCACCAAAGATTAGGCACGGGATTGAGCGCCCCCTTGGCTGACATTCCTAAAGGCTGCTTCTGTGTTCTACTTCAGCAGAGACCAGGAGAAAGAGGAGTGAGTGAGGCATCAGGAGCAATGTAAGGATAGGTGGCAGGCCAATTAATGGCCGCTTTACACCATGATCTGCCATCAAGGAGACCCAAAAAGGCCAGTCCACCCTTGAATGGCACCTGTTTAGGAAATGAGGAGTCAGGGCATTGGGCAAGTAGCTGTCATGAAGAGCCCCGTCGGCTCTGACAAGAGCCAGGCCACTGGAAACGGAACTGCCCTCGGGGTTGAAGGACTCCTGGGTCAGAACCGCAGAACCTGTTGGCCCCAGGCTAAAAAGCATTTCACTCTGCCCAGCTCCCAGAGTAACCACCGCCATCAGGAGGACAGCCTAGGGTCAGTACCAATTTAGGCAGATGCCACCTATTCGATACTAACCTCCTATTCAGGCCAGCCCTCCTCCCCGGCCAGCAAGGTGATGGAAGTCAACGGGGTGTCTTCCCTAGGAGGTTCACACCTCCCTTACTATGTCTCATCCAGGGCTACATGTGAAGAGACACACAGGTCTGGACCTCACAGATTCCTTGGCCGTGCCTCAAAACACACCTAATTATTACTGAACCCTTTCTGTCAGTTTCCGTTTGTGTCTCAATGGGAAAACTCCCTCCTTTCTTAGATCCTGGAACAATGACTCTGTCCTGTGGTTTGCACCCTGTGTATCTAATCTGCTTGTTACACACCCTACACAAAACGGAGCGGTCAGGCATAAACCTGTCTTCCCATGCATTGGACAGGACTCTTGCTTTCCTGTATCCCCCATTGTCCTCATTTCGGCATCGTTCCCACCATGTTTCTGATTTGTCTTTTTATCCTCGTAATCATTGTCTGCCATTCCTACCATGTACAACTAACATGTTTCAAAACCCCTTACAGGAGGGTTTGACTGCAGGAGCAACACAAGGCTGCTTGCTCTCTCCTTCTCCAATCAATCCGATCCAGTGTATAGATACCCTGCCCCACGTCTACGCCCCATATCAGCAGGAAGTAGCCAGAAGGAAACCGGCGCCCCATCTCTTTATCTATACTCAAAATCAGGATTGATGGTACAAGAACAGATGCCTCAGCCATTTTAAAAAAGCTCTGGTTGCTCATTCGTTCTTTCAAGAGACCAGTTTCGTCTCGCATCCTATTGTTCTTCCCCTCACCACCTGCACTCTTCCCCAGCTTTGGAAGCCAGGAGGCCAAACTTGAAGAACTTGTATAGAGACACTCATCTCCACCCACTGCCACCCACACCCACCCTGAGCCCACCTAAGGTATAAAAAGGCCCTTCCTACTGGGGTCTGGGCCCTCTGCCACGTGTTCGGTCAGTGCTCACTGGCAGTTTGTCCAACTCTGGGAGTTTCTTTTCTTTGGCTAAATTCAATCTGTCTGTGAGTCTTTTTATTCTGACTGCTGTTGATCTGCACCCTTTTCCTTACATTTGGTGCCCCGTGTGAGGAGGCACTGCTCTGCACCCCTTTTCCTTACAGTTAGCACGAGACTTTCTGTTCAGTCTTTACTTCAAAGTTTGTATGAAAATATGTCAGAAACAGCCTGACACTTGGCAGCTTCTGCAAGGTTCTGGCCTGTTCTGTAGTCTGTGTGTGTGTGTGTGTTTGTGTGTGTGTGTGTGTGAGAGAGAGAGAGAGAGAGAGAGAGAGTGGCTGAAGTCAAAAAGCAGACTAATACTAGTAAGATTATGTTTCTCTGGGGTGTTTTGGGTAGGATGCTAAGTGATGAAAAAATTTTTTTGCACTTAATGGTTGACTTTTGAAAACCGGTGTTTTGCTTTTATTTAATTAAAAGACAAAAAGGCACAGTACAGAGAGTGATAGAGTGATGGGGACCTGGGAGTCTTCCCTCCACTGGTTCACTCCCTAAATGATTGCCATTGCCAGGGCTCGCTAGAGCAAAAGCTATGAGCCTGGAACTCCGTTGAGGTCTTCCGTGTTGGTGGGAGGGCTCGACTATTGAGACATCTGCCTTGCTGAGCGCATTAGCTGGAGGCTGGATCAGCAGTGGAACAGCTGGAGCTTGAACCCGTGCCCTTCTGGGATGCTGGCATCACAGGCCGTGGTTAATCTGCTGTGCCTCAGTGCTAGCCCAAGTGAGGAGCAGTTATGCAGATAGGACAGTTTCCAGGTTCATAGAAGTGTCTGCCTGTCGATTGTGGAGAGATGCATTCTGGTTTGGGATGGCTAGGGAAGTAGGAATGTAGAGTGAGATAAGTTGAAAGGAGTAGGGTTCTCTGTGACCTTCTGCCTTCTCTCTAGGTTTTGTGCTGGTTTCTGTTCCTGCTGTCTCTTGCTCCTTGGAATTAATCAGAACCATTTGTGTTTACTGCTGAATACACAAGTACTTGAATTGAATCTGTTATCAGGAGACACTGATTTGATAAAGGCTACTAAGTGTTCATTCATGAAATTTCCCTTTTAAAACTCTAGGATTAATGATTTAGGTTTTGCATAGTTTTTAAATACAATGTATATGACTTAAGTTAATATTTTAGCCCTCCAAATGTCCCATTTAATTTGATCTGGATTAGTTTTATATATGCCCCAGCATGTACATTTTTAAGCTTTAAAATTTGGTCATACTGCACAGATGCACATGCAGAGTTGTCATTTTTTATCCAAGCCTAAATGTAATTTTGGTTTGAATTTGTCTCCTATTTAGCTCCAATCTACTTTGGTTAAATCTAGTTTTATGTCTTTTTGCAGTTAGCATTTTCTTTTTATCTCTGAACACCTTAATTGTGAAAACCTTTCGATATTCACCTCTTTGGATGATACAGAGGTCTCTGCCCATTGGTCCAAGTCTTTATATAATTAATATGTAATATAAAGCTTTTATATTGACTTTTACTTGATCTGCATTTTTCTTACAAGTACAATAAACTTTCTAATGTACTAGGATTCAATTCTCCCTTACAAAGCTTTATATGTCCTGTTTTTGTGTTTGCATAAGTGTCTGTGACTGTTTTTGTAATTCCTTGTCTGAGGCTACATGTGGGGACATGCCTGAAGAATGGCTTCTTTGTTGTTGTTAAATATTTATTCATTTGAAAGGTGGGGTTACAGAGAGGCAGAGAGAGTGAGAAAACTGGTTCATTCCCCAAAGGGCTGCAATGGCCAGAGCTGTGCCAGTCCAAAGCCAGGATCCAGGGTTTCTTCTGGTCTCCCACGTGGATGTAGGGACCCAAGGATTTTTGTCATCTGCTACTGCTTTCCCAAGTCGTAGCATAGAGCTGGATAGGAAGTGGGGCAGCCCGGACTCAAACCAGCACCCATGTGGGATGCCAGCACTGCAGGCAGTGCCTTTACCAGTTTTGCTACAGCGCGGGCCTTGGGAATGGTTTCTTGAAGTGTGTGTGTGTGTGTGTGTGTGTGTGTGTAAAAAGAGAGAGAGAGAGAGAGAGAGAGAGAGAGAGAGAGAATAATAAAGATTTTTTTATCCACTGATTCATTCCCTGGATGACCACAATGGCCAAGCCAAAGCTACAAGCCAGGGACCCATTCCAGATCTCCCACATGGGTGGCAGGAGTCCAAGCACTGGGGTTGTCTTCTGCCCTCCTAGGTGCATTAGCAGGGAGCTGAATCAGAAGCTGAAGAGCCAGGATTCAAAACTTTAAGTCCCATATGGGAAGCTGGTGTCCCAAATGCAGCTTAACCCTCTGAACCACACCTCCAGATCCACTCAGATTTATCCAGTATCAGACAGAATCAACTTTGTATTACTGATCGTTAATCTCATTTTGACATGAAATGTGCACTAGTAATGTCTCAGGGAATGCTGATAAATTGGTGTTTGGAAAGCAATATGGAAACAGATCTCAAGAATGCAAGGTTCAAAAGGAAGATTGAGCTAAGGGATCAGAAGATTGTTTCTCAGGCCCATAATTTATCCTCCAAGAAAGTAGAATTAGCAGACAGCAAGTATCCCCATCTGTTACAGAATAACACTTCCATGTTGTCTGTTGGCAAGGGTTTTTCGTGAGGGGATTTTCCATGAGCTTTCTGAAGTTCACATGCATGGATTTAAAAAAAAATCGCACCTTCAAGTTGTCCCAAATGATGACCTGATTGGGAACAACCAAGAGAGTCAAGATATAAGTTTGAATCAAAACGTCATCACCAACAGCAAATACATCAACTCCCAAGAGAGTCAGTTTAAAAAAGAGACTTAATTTAAGCTCAAGTCGTATTCCAAAACTGATTATCAAAAAGGTGAATTGCTCAGGAATGAAACCAGAAGCATGCAGTATGTTTCAAAATGTGAAAAAAATGCACCAAAGTAAATATGTAAATGTCATTTTACAAAAACTTCATGAAGTACTCTTGTATTTCTAATTGTTTTAATCTTTATTGGAACATAAGCTCTGTGAGAAGGCAGAACATTTTGTTTTGTTCAACAGGGTGTTAGAAGTGCCTAGCACATAGTATGTGCTCATAAACATCTGTTAGCTTCATTGAAACACAGAATTAGCCCCAGGCCTAGCGTTAAACACAGTTAATTAGATGGTTCTATATTGAAAACAGTGCAGTCCTAGGTGCAGAAAGAAATTTGTTCGGATTTTCTTCCCGTGTAACAAGTCATCCCAAACATTGTGGTTTAAATGGTACTTATTAATTTGCCACTATTTGGGGGAAGGCTGGGAGGTTCTTACTTGGAGTCCTTGTGTGTATAGTCTGGTGGTTGCTGGGCTGACGGTTCCTTCATCACGAGGCTGTTGACAGTTGGGAGAAGGTAACCATATCTTCCTCCAGGTGGTGTCTCTACTTGGCTCACTTTCGCTTCCTCACAACATGGGCAGTAGGTGTGATTTCTTACACCATAGCTGGATCCCCATAGAGCCAGTGTTAGGAGAGGCCCAGGTGTCTTGCTGCCTTAGAAGCCTTAAGATCATTTATGCATGTTCCATGAAGGAAAGAATTCATCTACTCACAGGATAATAAACTCATGATGTTATAGACAAAGTGACCTGAACAGAATGCCATGGAAAATATGGAGCACATAGTACTGAATGGTAATTAGGATTAAGAACGGTGTGTCTGGTTAGATTGCCCTGGGCAAGTCCTGACTTCACCCATACACCAGTTATCTTTGACACATTTTGGCCATTTCAGGTATAATTTCTTACCCATAATAGTGAATAAGCCCATTCAAATTGCATCATTAGTTCTTCTGCCATTAGGCATGTTTTGGTGGGAAATTTTAAGACTCTTTATAAAAGGAACATGGAAGCTGATATAATCAAACTAATTAATTGTATTTGGAATATTGTATTTCTAGTCACTTTGGCCACTAATTGGCTCTTTAAAAGTGGAATGAACTAGTGATTGGTTGGTTGAAGTTTTAGAATGTAGGGAGATGATCCTTCTTGTCTTTGGCCTTGGCTGCATGAATTATGGTGCAAAAATGCTACAAAATCATCCCATCACTGATTTACTTGAAGTTTACTATTAGATAAATTTATTACAGATCAATCCCTCCTGATGTTTAGATCTCTGTTCTTTAATGCTAGAAGTGTATTCATCAGTGAGCCTGAAGAAAATTATACTTCTTTGCAATGAATTCTGCTATCACTCCAGATTCATCCTGTTAGCCATCTGATGCAATGTTGAATGGGTTTTCTGAATCAATGCCGGTTTCCTGGAAGCCAAACTATGTAAACGCTTTCAAAGTTAGAACCTGTACCTGTTGTTCTTATGAAGCCAGGTTCCATTGGTTAGATTCTGGATATGTGAAAGTGAAGAATTTGGAGCTTGTTTTGGGGACCATTTCCTAATCTTATGCTGAAGCATCAATTCTGTTTGTACTAAGTTTATTTCAGGTAGTAATATATCTGCCTTTTCTTCATTTAACTTGATCTTAGACAGCAAGGCATTCTGATTGTTGAGTGTTACTCTGTTTTTTTTTTTTTTTTCTTATTACCTCTACATTCTTCTCTAATAACGAAGTGCCAGAGGAGGCTCACCGAAATAAAAATCAAAGGACTGTTTTCATTTTCTAATACTACCAGTAAATCGTCTGTTCACATAACCATCAGTATTCCACCTTCTGCTTGGCATATTTTGAGGGAAACATGAAGGGTTTTAAAAAATCGTAAGAGCATTCAAGTACCAGTCATTCTTAACAATAGAAAGGAGATAGATACTGTTGTTTTACAGTTTTGAAGAAGTTAGAGTTCCAAAATGTTTAAGTTGTGCTGGGGATATTATAGGAGATGTACATAGACTTTTCTGCGCCTGGTCATGAATATTTTTCAGACCAAGGATGTGACTTCTGTTCCTCTTGCCTCATTCTTTTAAATGTTATAGTTGTTTTCAGTCTTTCTCAGTGAATGTTCTTATTCCCAACTCCCCATACGTATGTTCCACCCAGTATCCATGTTGACCCACATTTTTTGCCTTTAAAGAGAGTTACCATCAAGGAGGATGAGCAGACCAGAGTCATTGTAGTGGCCAGATTCATGAGGAGTGGTAGGAATCTAAATGATAATTGTGTACACACAGGCCACCACGGATGCTTTGTGTGTAGTATTCCCAAGGTGGAATTAAGAGCATTACAGTCTTTTGATAGAATACAACCAAAGTACTATGATACAGTTGTCTCTATTCACATGTGGGAACTTACTCAAAGAAGTGGTAGAAAAATCTAACTGCAGGGTCTTAGTGCAGGCTTTGAAAGGAAGATTCACAGTCATTTCAGTGTTGCTGATGTGAAAAGTACTTGTGAGACTACACAGCATTTAGAATCAGTATTTTATAAAACTTGTTATTCAAATTTCTAGACAAAGACGTAATGCTGGAGTCATTCCAAGTGTTATATTGTCATTGTCCATTCGTGGAGACGTGCATGGAATCAGGAGCCTGAAAAGAGTGTTGGTCTCTTTAAGATCCTTCAGTGGGGCAACCAAACCTTGTTTCATTATGGAAACAATTGCGAAGGACAGCTTCTGATTTCCCAAATTTCATGTCATGGAGCTTATTATTCATGTCAGTCATGAACTCTGGGAAGTGACAACAATCCCAGTGGTGAGTTAAAGGCCTATGGAAGTGATACAGATTTGGGAAATCTGAGAATTTGTTTTGAAGTTGAGATAAAGAATTGACTCTGTGTATATCAGATGTTTCATACTTTGTTTTTAAAAACAGAATAGTTAATGTTTTTGTAGGAGTAGATAGCATGCAAGGATCCAAACTTGATAACATATGTTAGATGTTTTTGTAAAATCTGCTTTGGTTTTCAGTCATTTACTGTATTTCACTGCCTTTTCATGCTTGTAAATTAATTATTCAACTGCTAGACAACCTTTATAACTTTATGTTTTACATAATTATCATCTGTTCTGCTTCAGAGTAAGATCGTACTCCACCCAAATAAGAAGCAATCAAAGAAATTAAAGCAAATACCAGCTAAATTCACATAAGTGAATGCAAGAGGCTCAAGGATTTGTAAGTACTGATCTGGCAACATCTAAGTTGCTGCTGGCACAAAACTATCTATTTGTATTATTAGAAGGATATAATATAAATCTTTGTTAATGAAAAACTCAGGAAGGAGGTCATTAAATAGAATTAAATACTTCCTCAACATACATACCACTTACTTGCTGATCGGTATTGGGAAATACTGAAACTGGCCTATCGTAAAACTTTTGGTCCCAGGGAACCCAAGGTCTTGTAGGTCCATTTGATTAAAGACTTTCTTGTTTGAAAGGCAGAGTTGACATGGAGATTTTCCATCTGCTATTTCACTCCCCAAATGGCCACAGTGGAAAGGGTTAGGCCAAAGGCAGAAGCCTGGAACTGCATTCAGGTCTCCCAAAGTGGTGCACGGACCCAGGCACTTAGGCCCTCATCAGCTGCTTTCACAGGCAGATTAGCAGGGAGCTGGAATGAAGTGGAGCATTGGGACTCGAACCTGTGCTCATAGGGGATGCTGGCATTGTGGGATGCGGCTTAACCCACCAAGCCATAGTGCCAGCTCCTATCAGGTCCATTTCTAAAACAATGGAGATCTTTTGGGAAAATCACTTTGGTCAGACCTGCTTGGTAAGGTAATCCCAACAGAGTTCCTTTCCTGCTGCTCCACTGCTCGACTGCCTGCAACTGCTGGGGCTGGGTCAGGCCAAAACTAGGAGCCGGGAACTCAATCTAAGCCTCCCACGTTGGTGGAAGGGAACCCGATGACTGAGTCAACATCTACTGCCGCCTTGTGTGTGCATTAGCAGGAAATTGAATCAAAAGTGGTGCTTGGTAATGCATGGAATTTGGATTTCAAACCAGAGTTTGGCTCCCAACTGCATCACTTACTCTCATATGTCATTAAAAATGTTGTAATCTGGTGTGCCGTCATTCTCCTGTTTTCTCCATTGCAGCTTTACATTCTAGTCATCTACTGGACCCTCATCCACCCAGTCTTCCACCATTGCGCCACCATCCCTCCTACTCTATGTTAGCTTCAACCTAATTGAGGGCCTACATACTTGCCTCCCACTCCGTCCTCTCTATATATCCTCCCATTCCTTCTGGCCCGCCAACAACATTGGACTCACTTTCCTCCCTCCTCCATACCAGCCTCATCATCCCGGTTGGTCCTGCACACCAGCCTCACCCTCTTGTGAAGGCCAGCCTCACTCTACCTCTGGCCCACACAAACAACCACACCTTATCCTCATCTTCCACCTCCGTTGTATTTCCCTTGTTTCCCCGCTACAACTGCACCCTTCCTCTAGACTTCCACATCCGTTTCATCCTTACAGTTTTCTACCATATCCTCAACCTGTCTGTGGTACTCTACAGCAGCCTCAATCTCTTTGTGGGGCCTGCATCCTGGCCTCCCACTCTTTGTAATTCACACTGGGTTCAGCTTCCTTCTGGCTACCATACTAGAATCACTTTCCTTCTGACCCTCCAGCCAACCCTCACTCTCCTGGCCCTGCACACCAGCCTCACCCTCCCTCTGGTCCTCAGTACCAGCCTCACCTCCCCCCAACCCTCCATGCCACTCCAGCCTTACTCTCCTTCTGTTGGTCCACTATAGCCTCGCTCTTCTAGCCCTCCATATGGGTTTCATCCACCAAATCTGCCATAACTTCACCTTTCCTGTGGTACTCTACACCAGCTTCATCTTCCTTGTGGGCCTCCATCCTGGCTTTGCACTGCTTGTATGCCACTGTGACTTCCAACTTCCTTCTCATCCTCAGTGCCACCCTCTCCCTCCTCATCATCAATGCCACCCTCACCCTCCTCATTTCTCTATACCAGCCTCGCATTTCTATTCCTTGACACTGTCCTCACCTTCCTTTTGTGGCTCAACCCTGGGATAACCCTTGTGGTGATTCCCCCACCTAAGGATCGCTTTCTCTCTGGTCTTCTATTTAGTTGCTACCCTCCCTGTAGCCATCCACCTAAGCCTAGCCTTCACTGTGGTTCTCAACACAAGCCTTTCCTTTGGACTTCCATGATAGCCTCACATCCCTCCTAGTCCTCCACACCAGTCTCATTGTCCTGTTTCTCCACTGCAGCCTTACCCTCCTTTGAGTCCTCCTCTTGTGCCTCACCTGCCAACTCTTCTTTCATGGCCTCACCTTTCCTGCTGTGCACTACACCAGACTCAACCACCTTGTAGGCTTCCGTCCTGGCCTCCATATTGCCCTCTCTTTACATCTATCTGTTCCACCTCATTAGACATACTTTCCTTTAGACTCTGCAGCCCAGCCTCAGCCTCAACCTCACCAGCAGATGGAAGAACCAGCAATGGAATGTCCGTCTCCCTCTCCCTCTCCCTCTCCCTCTCCCTCTCCCTCTCCCTCTCCCTCTCCCTCTCCCTCTCCCTCTCCCCCCCACCCCTCTTTCCAAAGAAATCATTTTTTAAAAAAGAGAGATCGGATTCAGGAGCTGCAGGCAAGGATTAAACTCAGGTATTCAGGATGCTTGTTTCCCAACCACTGGACTATATGCCTGCTCCATTTTGTAACATTTTCACTGTTGTTTGTTTAGTAGTTGCCCTTGAGTTTGCAACATGCATTTACAGCTAATCTCAGTCTGTTTTCAAATATTCTGCTTCCTGGATACTGTGAGTGCCTCATAATAACAAAATATTCCCCATCTCCTCCCATTCCTTCAACCCTCATGCATATTTTCCTTGCAGTGATAGAAAAATATATACACATGTAATATGTAAATATGAATATATATGAATATTATGTATGCCATTTTTGTGTATGTATTGCATAAATATAGCTTAAAATCATATATGATCTAATATGTTGCTATCATTACTTTCAGCAATCCCATTAGTAAATTAAAAATAAGAAAAATAAAATTTATATTTTACTGTGATTTTTCTTTTTTTCTCTCATGTTCTTCCTTTTTATGTAGATCCAAGTTTCTGACCTATATGATTTTCTTCCTCTCCAGAAAACTGTTCACATTTCTTGCAAGATAGTCTTCTGGCAACAAAATGTATAATTTTTGCCTGCCAAACATTTATTTCTTCTTCACTTTAGAAAGACAAGTTTCAGGATACTAAATTTCAGTTTGGTAGTTTTTTCTCTCCATGCTTAAAATAGTTTTCTCCTCAGTTTTTCCTTGTGTGGTTTCTGAGGAGAAGTCAGATGTGTTTGCTCCCCCATGGATTGTTTATTCTGCACAAGCTGCATTCAGGACTTGTTTACGGGATACTGCTGTATATAGTGAATATCAACAAGCCTTTGGAGAAGTTTTTTTTTTTTTTTAAGGAAGTATGGGAGGAGATATGGATCATTTTTTTAAAAACTGAGGACAAACAGACCTGTTTAGACTACATACTTCTAAGTAATGAAACTAAGAATGGATGTTGGTGAGCTACATCATGCATGAGATTTAAAATAGCACTCTTAATTAAAAACACAATTTTTAAGAGCATCGGTTAACAGAGAGCATTGAATTTGCCTCCACACTTTTTCAGTGTACTGCAAAGTAAGCATTTTGGGCAAGGACCACATGTCAGATTTATCTTTGAATCTCTCTTGCCTGCTAAAGGTAGTGACATGATAGCCCTGAATATGTGCTTAAATGAATCCATTAAGGAATGCATTCATGCATTAAATTCAAATAAAACCTCACGGTGTTTGATGTCAGAATTGTGTAACTAAATAACGTTAGGTTCTAAAATATCAACATGGTATTTCACTTGGAGAAAACATAGATTAATGGCTCTGATTTTGAAACTACTTCTTTCTTTCTCAAAAAGTGCAGTAAACCTTGGGTGACAGTCATGAAGCCTCTTCCTACTGCAGCTAAGTAACATAGACCCACTATGCCTCATTTTCCTCATTTGTAGCATTGATTTTAGGTTGTCTTGACAAACTACCAAGAGTTTTGCCGTACCATTCTTGTTCGTTCTGGTTTGTCTGGTCTGCAATGATATCTGTCACAGATTTCCAATCACTACTGGCAAACATTTAGTTCACTTAGTTTATGCAGAACAGTTACAGACTCTGCTGCTGGGATAGAAAATATATCTCATTTAGAGTTTTACCCTGTGGATACAATTTGAAATAGAATGAAAACCATTGGCATAGAGTCCCTTTTAAAGGTTTACCTGTTGTAGAAGCATTTGAAAGAAAGCATATTAAGGGCAAAGATAAATATTTACTTAAATTATTAAAACATCTTGAGATTTTTTTGCTATGGCCCTGATGTCATAAAATTATATTTAAGCTATTGTGATAACTTTGAAACCATAGACATAGAGGTTAGTATGCATTGAGAGGTACATAATGTATATACTGTTAGCTTGCTTGAATTAAAGGTAGCCATTGTATATTTTAAATTACTTTAATGTTGAAATTTGTATGTAGTTTAGAAAATGGAAGGTATGGTCTGCTGAGAGTTGGCCTTAATCCTCAAGTAGGTTGGCTTATACTCAATTTCAGGGAGACAACACACATATGCCTAGTAGGATAACCCAAACAGTAGGCTTTGTAAGGCAAAAAGCCTATGAATATCATGGAGAATAAGAATTTCAGGCTTTGTTTTTAATATTTGTTAATTTATTTATTTGAAAGGCAGCGTTACAGAGAGGCAGAGGCAAAGAAAGAGAAGTTTTCCATTTGCTGGTTCACTCTCCAAATGGCCACAACAGCTGGAACTGCATCTATCTGGAGCCAGGAGCTTCCCTCAGGTCTTTCAGGTTGGTGTAGGGGCCCAAGGACTTGGACCATCCTCTTCTGCTTTCCCAGTCCATAGCAGAGAGCTGGATTGAAGTGAGGCAACCAGGACTCAAACCAGCACCCATATGGGATGCCAGCACTGCAGGTGGTGGCCCTACCAACTATGCCACAACGCTGGCCCCAGAATTTCCAATTTAACTTTTTTTCCTACTTGCATTTCCATCAAAGAAGGGGTTGATGATGAGATGTTAGGAATCTATTATTAAATGAAGGCGTGAGGAATCTATTACAGCCCTCCTGCATTATTGCTTCTTTCCAGCTTATGCAGACTGAATTTACAAATGGTTTTGGTGCTTCTATCACACAGTAAATGATTTTTTGAATGTAAGCCATATTTATTCCTATTTTACTCAATGTTAGCATTAAGACAATGATAATGCTAACTAAAATTTTTAAAAAATTTAGTTAAAATTACATTTGCATATGAAAGTGGAGGCAAACTTACCTAATTTATTCTACTTCTAAATATACGTAAAATTTTCTTGAGGAAACAGGATGGCAGTCAGGTTAAGAGGGCTAGTTCTTGAAAAGGAAGTTGTCATATGTAATCATTTAGGAGCGGCCATCTGGAGGTATTGATGCTCTTCACTCTTCACAATTATTTAATTATGTTCTAGGTGGCATTTCACTGCTTGATGTCTTTTGTGGATATATCATTCTTTGTACATTCAGTTGGTGAATCACAGTCATAGGCCGTTTCCATATTTTAGCTATTGTGAGTAGCACTGCCGTAAACATGGAAAGGAGATATCCTTTTGACACACTGATGTCATATCTTTTGGACATATACCCAGTAATGGAATTGCGGGATTTTGCTCAGTTCTGTTTTGTTAGAGAGACTCCCATACTATTTTCCATAATGGTTGTGCTAATTTGCCTTCCCACAAAATACTAAAAATTTCACCTGTCTTGAAATCCATGTCACCCTTTGTTATTTTTTGTTTTCTTCATGATAGTCATTCTACCTGGAGTGAGATGATAATCTTATTCTGGTTTTAACTTGCATTTTTCTGTTGATTAATGATGTGGAGAATTTTTTCATGTAACTATTGGACATGTGCATGTCTTCTTTTGAGATGAGTATGTTAAGTCCTTCAGCCTAGTTTAAAAATTGTTGTTTTGTTGTTGTTGTGTTTTGTTTTTTTTTTTTTTTTTAGCCCTGGGTTTTTTGAGATAATTGTATAGTCTGGATATTAACTCCTGTAGAAAACCTGAGAAGTATTGTGTGGCATTGTATTGGGGACAGGTTTTGTTATTTACGTTTTGACATAGAAGCACAGGCTAGACTGGCCTGGGTAGGTGGCTTGGGGCTGCTCCCACACCTGGAATCTGAAGCAGTGTCAGTGGCCGCGGGCTTAGCAGGTTGGAGCTGGATGGACCTGATGCAAGGTGCTGGGCACCACTGGCACAGCACCCCAGCTGGCCGCATGGGGGAAAAGGCCCAGGCCCTGCTGCCCACGTGTGACTCTTGGGGGCTTGGCTGCCATGCCACTTTGTCCTGGGAGGCCCTGCTACATGCCGCTGCACTCTGGGAGCTGGGAGCCCAACAATGCCCTGCAGGTCTAAGGAGCCTGCCCTGGTCCCTGCACTGGCTGCAACCACTGGAGAATGAAACACCCCCAGATAATAGCACCCGTGGGCTTGGACAAGGAGCTCAGTGACCTCCTGGACTTCAGCATGATGTTCCTGCTGCCCGTGGCCAGTGGAAAGGGTTGGCCTGTCTCCTTGGCCAGCGCATAGTTCAGAGGAACAGGTCCGGAGGACTGGCCGGCTCAGGCTCCTGGGACGCTGGCAACCAGAACACCTCCTCCTTTGACCCCGGCCAGAGCTACAGTGAAGGACCCATTTCAGTGAGTCCCACGGCAGCCTTTCTTGGTTCACATTCCTGGGACCTGGGACCTGGACTTGGAGGCAAGGGAGGCCAGTGGGGTGGGTACCCCACCTTCTGGAGAGACACAGCTTTTGGCGGCTTGACTCAGGTCAGGTTCCTTGACTGGCGAGCTGGCCCTCCACAGCCACGGGCCATTGTCCTTCTCAGACATCAAGGGCAGCACCCAGTACAATGCCTCCTAACCCGGCAACCCTTGGGGCAAAGCCTCAGGTGGCCACTGGGCCTACAGCCCAAGAATGTCCAGAAGATTCTACTTGTTCTTCCTTCCTCATTGTACCCTCCCACCCCCATGGCAGCTTAGGTGACGACTAAGGCAGGGATGCCTGTGTCTACCCATCTGGCAAGCTCCCTGTAGCACCTGCTCTGCAGCCTTCTACTGGCCAGCCTGCACCCTTCCTTGGAGCTCTAGAGCCCCTCAGACCAGGATGGTTTCAGGCCCATGCTGGGCGGGAGCTCATCCGACTGCCCCTCTGGATGGGCAGTGGTGATGGGTTTTGAGGCCACAGTGCATTTGGTAGCATGTACTAGGAGCATATGGACTACTAACCGCATGGAGCTGAGGTCAATAGTGGCCTCCCAGCCATGTCCACCTTCTCAGTGCTCCCATAGCCGTGTATGGTGGCATCTCCAGCAACACACCACCCCTCCCATCAGCGGGGCAGACAGCCTCATCGGCTCCAGAGAGACCATGGCCACCAGCAGGTATGGTCTCTTATGTTTATTTATTTGTGTGTGTGTGTGTGTGTGTGTGTGTGTGATTTTTTAAAATAAGCACTAGTTGATGTTAAAACAGAGAAGGAATTGGTGGTTCTTCTCTCAAAAACTATTCAAAAGAGAAAGAAGAGAAACAGGCATGTGCCAGTTCAAACAAGAACAGATCCCATAGATGGATCAATCCCAGTATTCCTACAGCTCCTGGAACATGACCAGGCTGAAGCTGGGAACCAAGGCCCTGAAACACAGTTCAGGTCTCCCAAGTGGGCAGCTGTGAGATAACTACTGGAGTCAGCATCAGCTGTCTCACTGGAACCATGTTTGTAGGAAGCTGGAATCCCAGGATGAAACCCAGAATTAAACCCAGGCACTCTCTTATTGGACCTACATAGGCCTCTTCTTAGCCTCTTAACTGTTTGGCTAACCGCTGCAAAGAGGATGGTTCCCCTCCTCTTTCTCCCCTTAGTGAATGCCTATAAGGAATTAGTTCCTTACGTTTTCATCCTGTAGCTACTATCTCAGTAATGTGCCAAGTACTATACTGCTGTATTCTATCATTCTAATAATTTTCAAGGTTTCCTTCATAAAAAATGTTAAAAAGTGGAAAAAAGGAATCAGTTAAGGTTTTATTATTTTTTTGACTTTATAAATAAAGGATGTTTATTTAGCTCACTGGTTTGGAGGCCGAGATTTATTTTATTTTATTTTATGAACATAAATTTCCAAAGTACAGCTTATGGATTACAATAGCTTCCCCCCCATAACTTCCCTCCCACCCACAACGCTCCCCTCTCCCACTCCCTCTCCCCTTCCATTCACATCAAGATTAATTTTCAATTATCTTTATATATAGAAGATCAATTTAGCATATATTAAGTAAAGATTTCAAGAGTTTGCACCCACACAGAAACACAAAGTGTAAAATACTATTTGAGTACTAGTTATAGCATTAATTAAACACCTAAGAGTAATTGTGTATTAATTACAGAGTTCAACCAATAGTTTTAAGTAGAACATAAAAAATACTAAAAGAGTAAAGTATTAAGTTCTTTTTTTTGTTATATAGTTTTTTTTTATTTATTTAATAAATGTGAATTTACAAAGTGCAACTTTTGTATTGTTGTGGCTTCCCCTCCCCCAACCTCCCTCCCGTGGCCCTCCCCTCTTCCACTCCCTCTCCCATCCCGCCCTTCATCACGTTTCATTTTCAATTACCTTCATATACTGAAGATGAACTTTGTATATACTAAGCAAGGATTTCAACAGGCTGCACTCACACAGCCGCACAAGGTATAGGGTATTGTTCGACTGGTAGTGTTGTTTTTAAGTTTCATAGTAGAACACATTAAGGACAGAGATCCTACGTGGGGAGCATGTACCCAGTGACTCCCATTGTTGATTTAACAACTGGCACTCTTTATTTATGACGTCAGCAATCACCCGAGACTCTTGCTATGAGCTGTCTAGGCTATGGAAGCCCCTTGAGTTCACCGACTCTGAACTTGTTTAGTCAAGGCCGTATCACAGTGGAGGTTCCTTCCTCCCTTCAGAGAAAGGCGCCTCTCTCCTTGATGGCCTGTTCCTTCTGCTGGGGTCTTGTTCACCAGGATCTTTCATTTAGATTGTTTTTTGCCACCATGTCATGGCTTTCCATGCCTGTGAGACTCTTCATGGACCTTTTAGCCAGATCCAAATGTCCCAAGGGTTGATTCTGAGGCAGGAGTGCTGCCATTCTGAGTCTGCTTTGTGTCCTGTTTCCCCCGCGGGATCATTCTCTCCCTTTTAATTCTATCCTTCATTAGTTGCTTACACTGGTCTTATTTGTAAAATCTCATCGACACCATACCCTATCTTTTTGATCGGTTGTATATTTATACTTATCACTTTACCAAGTGCATTGGCGTTGGTACCTGCCTCCTTGGTAAGATTGAGTTGAAATCCCCTGGCACATTTCTAGTTCCACCATTGGAGGTAAGTCCGAGTGAGCATGTGCCAACCTGTATATCTCCTCCCTCTCTTATTCCCACTCCTATGTTTAACAGAGATCACTTTTCTGTTAATTCTAAACGCCTAAGAATGATTGTGCATTGATTACAGAGTTCAACCAGTGGTCTTATGTAGAACAAACAGAGCAGCAACAACAACAACAATATAAATAGTAAAAGGAATAAAATAGTAAGTTGTTCCTCAACAGTCTAGACAAGGGCTGATCATGTCATTGTCTCTCATAGTGTCCATTTCACTTCAATGGGTATCATTTTAGAAGCTCATTTAGTTGCCATTGATCAGGGAGAACATATGATATTTGTCCCTTTTGGACTGGCTTATTTCACTCAGCATGATGTTTTCCAGCTTCCTCCATTTTGTTGTAAATGCCCGGATTTCATTGTTTTTTACTGCTGTATAGTGTTCCATAGGGTATATATCCCATAGTTTCTTTTTCCAGTCATCCGTTGATGGACATTTAGGTTGATTCCATGTCTTAGCTATTGTGAATTGAGCTGCAACAAATATTGATGTGCAAATGGCTCTTTTTTTTTTCTCCCCTTTAATTCCATTTGGGTAAATTTCAAGGAGTGGGATGGCAGGGTCCTGTGGTAGTGCTATATTCAGGTTTCTGAGGACTCTCCAAACTGTCTTCCATAGTGGCTTTACCAGTTTGCATTTCCACCAACAGTGGATTAGTGTCCCTTTTCCCCCACATCCTCACCAGCATCTGTTGTTGGTTGATTTCTGTATGTAAGCCAATCTAACCGGAGTGAGGTGAAACCTCATTGTGGTTTTGATCTGCATTTCCCTGATGGCTAGGGATCCTGAGCATTTTTTCATGTGTCTGTTGGCCATTTGGATTTCCTCTTTTGAAAAATGTCTGTTAAGGTCCTTGGCCCATTTTTTTATTGGGTTGTTTGTTTTGATTTTGTGGTGTTTTTTGATCATTTTATAGATTCTAGTTGTTAATCCGTTGTCTGTTGTGTAGTTTGCGAATAACGTCTCCCATTCTGTTGGTTGCCTCTTCACTTTACTGACATTTCAAAGGCAGAGTCATAGAGAGAGGCAGAGACAGAAAGAGGTCTTCCATCTACTGGTTTACTCCTCAAATGGCTGCAACAGCCAGAGCTGAGCCGATCTGAAGCCAGGAGCCAGGAGCCTTTTCAGGTCTCCCATACTGGTGCAGGGGTCCGAGGACTTGGGCCATCTTCCACTGCTTTCCCAGGCACATTAGCAGGGAGCTGGATTGGAAGTGGAGCAGCCGGGATTAGAACTGGCACCTCTATGGGATGGGCACTGCACCACAGCGCCAGTCCTAGTTTTACTTTTTAATTGTTGAATTTTTTATTTAGTGGGGCCATTAAGTCTTGGAACATAATATATGTGAAATGTTATCTATAAAATAAAAAAATTAAAGAAATAAGTAGTTTAGATATAAAATCTTTTTAATTTTTTTATTTGAGAGACATAAAGAGAGAGACTTTATACAGCAAAAATGCAGGGACATTTTGAATTGTTTGCCTACTTTCTTGGAATTTATGGGCACAAAACTTTCTCTTGTGAAATATGAAATCCTTTTAAATCATATGGAAAGTTCTTTAATGTTAATACTTCTAATAATTAATTATATTCTTGCAAATTATAATTTTAATGGTGGTATGGTAGTGCATCCTATGGAAATTTGATTTTTATAAATTTGAATGTTGGATTATTTTAATTTTTTAGTATTATAAAAATGCTGCAACAAACATCTATTGTGTAAATATTTCTTTTTATATTTTTTGACAAGGCATTATATTTGCATTGAAACTGGTACAGCAAGAATTTCTTTCTTGTTTTTTTTTTTTTTTTAATTTTAGCTCCCACATAAAAGGGAGAACATGCAGTATTTATCTTTTGGTGTTGGTTTATTTCTCTCAACATGATGTCCTCCAGTTGTAACCATTTTGATGCAAAGATAGAATTTCATTATTTTTCTATCTGAATAGTAATCCATTGTGTGTGTGTATTACATTTTCTTCATCTATTTTTCTGATGACAGATATCTTGGTTGGTTCCATATCTTACCTTTTGTGAACAGTGCTGCCCTAAATAATGTTGGTACAGGTATTTCTTTGATACAATGTGTTCATGTCTTGGGTATATGCCCAGTGGTGGGATTGCTAGGTCATATGGAAAATCTATTTCTAGGTTTTTATGATATTGCCAATTTTACAGTTTTTGCACTAATTTGCATTCACAGTGTATAAGAGTTCCTCTTTCTCTATATCCTCACCAGCATTTGTTACTCTTTGTCTTGTGGAAAATAACTGTTCTATCAGTGGTGAAGTAATAATGTCACTGTGGTTTTGATTTGCATTTCCCTGATGCCTGATAATTTTGAACAGTGTTTCTCATATTTGTTTGCCATTTTTGTTTCTTTTGAGAACTTTCTGGTGAGGTCCTTCTTTTGCCCATTTCTTTGCTGGATTGATTGTTTTCCTATTATTGAATTTTTTTTTTATATCCTGGATAGGTAGCTTACAAATATTTCCCCATTGTTTTGGATGTCTCTTCACTCTCTTTTTTCTTCCAGTTGATGTACAGAAGCTTCTGAGTTTGATATAATCCCATTTTTCTAGTTTTGGTTTTATTGCCTGTGATTTGGGGGTCATATGCAAGCAAAATGTTTCTTTACATGTCCAAGTATTTTACATGGAAAAAAATGCTTCAATATATAATTATTGGGTTACATTCTAAGAAGCTTTTAAAACATCTGACTAATGTTTCTAAATGGCTCTCAAAATTAATATTAATTTATAATTCCACTAGAACATGTGATATCTATTTTTCCCAACCTAGAATGGTTTTTGACTCCTGTTGGTTTATTCTTAACGTATATGGAGTGAAAATAAGAGGGGACATGATTACTGATTAGTTTTTCAAAATCTTTTCATGCATAGAAAAAACAACGTCTATTGTATTTCTAATAATTACATGTATGTTTCTAAATCATAACTTATTAATGATTAGTTAACTGTCTTTCCTAATTGATGGTAATTAGGACTATGCAAAGAAAAGGCAATTTTTAACTTTTAATTTTACTGGATAATTTCAAAATTGCTTTTGTATAATATTTATCAGAGTTACTGATAACAAATTTACCAGTTATCAAAGTGTTCTTTCAAGCATATCTGTCTTTTGAAGAAGAGATTGAAGTGAGACATAAGAAACATAATAATTACAAAGAAAAATATTTGATGATATAAAAATGTATTAGAATATATAAGCTTCATACTAGGAGCCAAATTACAAAATGAACCTTTTCTTTTCTAACAAAAGGAATACTAAGATAAGGATTTTTACCTTAAGAATAAGAGAACAGATAAGTCAATAACAGGAGTCACTGTGCACTTACTCCCCATGTGGGAATCCATGTCCTTAATGTGTTGTACAATGTGAATTAATGCTATAACTAATACTCAAACAGTACGTTACACTTTGTGTTTCTGTGTGGGTGCAAACTGTTGAAATCTGTACTTAATATACACTAAATTGATCTTCTGTATATAAAGATAATTGAAAATGAATCTTGGCTGGCACCGTGGCTCACTAGGCTAATCCTCTGCCTGCGGCGCCGGCACACCGGGTTCTAGTCCTGGTAGGGGCACCGGATCCTGTCCTGATTGCCCCTCTTCCAGTCCAGCTCTCTGCTGTGGCCCGGGAGTGCAGTGGAGGATGGCCCAAGTGCTTGGGCCCTGAACCCGCATGGGAGACCAGGAGGAAGCCCCTGGCTCCTGGCTTTGGATCAATCAGCATGGTGCGCTGGCTGCTGCACGCCAGCTGCAGCGGCCATTGGAGGGTGAACCAACGGTAAAGGAAGACCTTTCTCCTTGTCTTTCTCTCTCACTGTCCACTCTGCCTGTCAAAAAAAAAAAAAAAAAAAGAATCTTGATGTGAATGGAATGGGAGAGGGAGCGGGAGAGGGTTGCGGGTGCGAAGTTATGGGGGGGGACTGTAATCCAAAAGCTGTACTTTGGAAATTTATATTTATTAAATAAAAGTTAAAATAAAAAATAAGGGTAAAAAATAATAAGAAAACAGAATAAATGCTGATGTGTTATGAAAAAACTAGGGAACAGTTAAGGAGAATCAAGCAGCAATATTGCAGAGAAGTAGAGATGAACAAACATCTTGAACTGACGGTTAGCACAATAAAAACAGGATTGAGGACTTTGAAAAATGATTTGAATCAGGTAAATTAATTGTTGCTAAAAATTTACATTTCTAAATTTAATCGTTACTAAGTTTTATGTTGCCTTCATATATATATATATATATATATATACACACACACACACTATATATAACATATATATGTTAGCAATCTAAAATTTATTTTAAAAATAAATTATGATATGTTTTCTAAAATTACTCATTGTAGTGCTTGGCACCTACTGGTACTCAGTGCATATTTTCTATATAAAGCAATGAAAGGTGAATTGAGTTCAATCATTCACGTAAAGCTGATTTAGCCATGTTTATATTAAAATTCAGGCTAAATAGCTGTGAAATTATAATGAAATTATTTAAATGTTTTGTGAAGAAACTTTATTTTACAGTTTCATCTCTGCCTGAATTTGAGAACTGTTTTTGCTATTTGATGAATTTAGCTGTGATTCATGAAATTTTTTGTTAATTTTTTAAAAGATTTTATTTATTTATTAATTTGAGAGGTAGAGTTACAAACAGTGAGAGGGAGAGACAGAGAGAGAGGTCTTCCTTCCATTGGTTCACTCCCCAAATGGCTGCAACAGCCAGAGTTATGCCAGTCCAAAGCCAGGAGCCAGGAGCTTCATCCAGGTCTCCCACGTGGTTGCAAGGACCCAAGGACTTGGGCCATCTTCTACTGCTTTCCCAGGCCACAGCAAAGAGCTGGATGGGAAGTGGAGCAGCTGGGACTAGAACTGAAACCCATATGGGATGCCAGTGTTGCAGGTGGAGGATTAACCTACTGTGCCACCGCACTGGCTCCATGAAATTAAAATTTAAGTATTTCCTGTAAGATCCAGGTCCTGGTGCTTTGGTGGGTTGCTTCCTCTTAACAGAATTTTTAAAAAATTGTCACTCTTAAATAAGCCGTTAAACTATTTTTCCTGAAAGCCAAGAGATGACCAACTTAGGAAATATGTCTTTAGGTGAGAGAACAGCAAAACAATCCCCAGAGTTCTCTCTCAAGCCAAGAGAATGCAAGAAAACTACAAGATGAAATGCAACTGATTCACCTTTGCCAAAAAAGGAGGAAGACATTGCACCAAAGGAAGAGAATTATGAGGTATTTTTCTTTATTTGTTGTCAAATATGCATGTGTATGTTTTCATATGTGTATAGATCTATACAACCGCTTGCATCATGGAACATGTAGGACACTTTTAATCCAAATATATATGTATTTTGTACAAATAGTGGTGTTGGTGACATTTTCAGCCAGTTTGGTAATGTCATGTGAATTCAACTGCGCTTGTCTGTGACTCTCTGATAGTGGCATTCACAACATGTAATGTTCATTCCACTCCCTTTGTGACTCTCAAGTAGTCGCATTCACAGCCGCCTCATTCAGAGGAGAAGCTTTAATATTCCCCATAAAAATGGATGATCTTTTTCAGAATCTCAAGACCTTTGAAAGTAACAATGGATATTCTAGCTTTGGATAGTGAATTCTCTCCTTGAATGTGTTTCCTTCCCTGGATCTATTCCTGGAGAGGTTAGTTTGTGAGTTCTACTGGTAGGCAAGGAAGAAAAATGAAATATTTTGCACGTTATTTTTCTCACTTTTGAGAGTAAAATGTACTGCAAGAACTTTCCTGTTTCAGTACAAGAAACTTGGGAGACAATGATGTACCATACTGTATACATTGTGATAATTCATACAGAGGTATTTTCTGTAATAATAGTTCAGTGTACTTTCTCATATTGCATGCTTATTACTTTTTAAAATATTACAAGGAGGTAAGCAGCAAATAATCTCTTGATTTCCTTTTCTTTTAAAAAATTTTTATCTAAGACGAATTTCAGGCATTTAATGTATACAGATTTAGGAGCACAGTGATACTTCCCACCTTGCCCTCCCTCCTGCCCCTGTTCCCTCCCTTTCTCTTCCTTCCTTTCCTGTTCCCTCTCAATTTTTATAGTGATCTACTTTCAGCTCACTTTATACTTATGAGATTAATCCTACATTAAGTGAAGAGTACAACAAATAGTATAGAGAAAAAAAATACTGTTCCTCAGTAGTAGAGACAAGGGCTGTAATCGTAATTGAACTCAGAATGCTTTTCTAAGAAGCACTCTCTGAATTTTCCTTTCATGTGGCAGTTTGGCATAGTAGTTAAGATGCTGGTTGGGATGCCTGCAGATCATTTGGAGAGCCTGGGTTCAAGTCACTGCTCCACTCCTCATTCTGTCTTCCCTCTACTGCACACTATGGGACAAAGCAGATAATGGCTTATGTGGTTGGGTCCCTGTTACCCGCATGGTAAACTTGGATTGAGTTCTAGGCTTCTGACTTCAGCCTGACTCAGCCTTGGCTGTTGTGGAAAATTAAGTAAACTAGTGATTGGAAGATACCCCTCTGTGACTCTGCATGCCTCTCCCTCTCTCCCTCTCTTTCCCTCTCTCTCCCTCTCCCTCCCTCTCTCTATCCATTTCACTCTCACATAAAAATGAATAAATATTAAAATTTCGCTCTTATTAGTGTTTTGAGATATTTCTTAACTTGCATTTATGCATTTATATTACAGAAATAAAAGCAATTTGATAGAAGGGCCTTAGAAATTGAGTCAGATGACTTAACAAATTGACACTCTTGTTTATGGCGTCAGTAATCTCCCTAGGTTCTTGTCATGAGTTGCCAAGGCGTGATGTGAATGGAATGGGAGAGGGAGCGGGAGATGGGAGGGTTGCAGGTGGGAGGGAAGTTATGGGGGGGGGGGCGGGAAGTCATTGTAATCCATAAGCTGTAGCTGTACTTTGGAAATTTATATTTATTAAATAAAAAAAAAAGATGAAAAAAAGAAATAGAGTCAGATGGATCTGGCTTTGTGTCATAGCAGGTAAAGCTGCCATTTGTGACAAAAGCATCCCATACATGTGCCAGTTTGTGTCCTGGCTGCTCCACTTCAACTCCACGTCCTGCTAGTGCCTAGGAAAAGCAGCAGAAGATAACCTAAGTGTTTGGGCCCCTGCCACCCATGAGGAAGACACAAATGAAGTTCCTGGCTCATGACTTTGGTTTGGCCAGGGATTGGCTATTGGGGCCAACTGGGAAGTAAACCAGTAGATAGAGGATCTTTCTCTGTCTCTCTGTTTATTGGACTTTCAAATAACTGAATAAATCTTTACAATTAAAAAAAGGAATAGAGCCAGAAAACCGAGGAAAAATTGTGGAGCTTTCTTTTATTTTTAGCTCCTGTTATCATGACTGTGGTAACTCAGTTCATTGATGTATGTGGAAGTGCTTGCTTAGAATTACCCTTTCCTAATAAAGATATTTCTTTATAAATGGCTCTAAAATCTTAGAAAAATAGACTATCTACATAATATTCTCAGGACCAGGGAACTTAACTTTGGAAAGTTTCATCTATTCAAATATTATTCAGATATCAGATTCTTATAGTATGGTGGCTACATAGGTTAGATATCAGAGTGTCAAACTAATTTTTTAATATAGTCAAGTATAATCATCTTTTATTTTATTCTTTGATTTGCTGCAGTTCAGAGAGAGGATTTCCAATTCTGATATTTTTAAATATTCCCCTGTGAGTTCTTTTTTACTTTAATGGATTTGTCATCTTCCATTAAATTTTTGAGCTTTTGATATTTCTGCTTCGAAAATGTTTGAAGTTTGGTTCCAACATTTTTCCAGTTGGGCACCATTTATTATAAACCTTTGATTGTTTAAGTGCACAGATTATTATTTAGTTTCAGAGGAAGATTAATATTTCATTGAGTATCAGTGAAAATTCCTTTTTATTTTTAAAATTTTATATATATGTATACATTCTCATTTTAATTTAAAGGCAGAGTGACATAGACTAACAATGGGGGGTAGTCCATATGCTGGTTTATGTGCAACATGTCCACAGCAGCCAGAAGTTGGTTGGGCTGAAGCCAGAAGTTCAAAACTTTATCTGGAATTCCCAAATGGGTGGTAGAGACCATGAGCCAAAATAAACCTCTTTCCTTCAAAGTTGGCTTTTCTCAGGTATTTTGTTGTAGTAACAAAAATCACTTTGGGTTAGGAATTCTAGAAACGAGGGTGTTAAATATTCCCGTGTTGTTCAAGTCTCTTGAATATTAACAACAAAACTTTGTAGAAAAGATAGTTTAATCTATGATCATTTTATGTACTGTATTTTTTCAAAATCTTTTAGAGCTAACATTTCTTTTTCTTTTTTAATTTTTTTAAGATTTTATTTATTTATTTGAGAGGTAGAGTTATAGACAGTGAGAGGGAAAGACAGAGAGGAAGGTCTTCTTTCCATTGGTTCAGTCCCCAAATGGGCACAATGGCTGGAGCTGTGCAGATCCAAAGCCAGGAGCCAGGAGCTTCTTCCGGGTCTCCCACATGGGTGCAGGGGCCCAAGGACTTGGGCTGTCTTCTACTGCTATCGCAGGCCATAGCAGAGAGCTGGATTGGAAGAGGAGCAGCCGGGACTAGAACTGGCGCCCATATGGGATGCCGGTGCTGCAGACGGAGGATTAACCTGCTGCGCCACAGTGCTGGCCCCAGAGCTAACATTTCTTTTCTTCCTAAAAAGCATTTGAAGTATATCTTAATAATGATAATAATCTTGATAATAATAATAGATAACATTTTTTAAAGATTCATTTACTTACTTGAAAGAGTTACAGAGAGGCAGAGGCAGAGGCAGGGAGGGAGAGAGAGAGAGAGAGAGTGATTTTCATCTGTTGTTCACTTCCTAAATGCCTGCAGTGGCTGAAGCTGGGCTGATCTTAAGCCAGGAGCCAGGAGCTTCTTCCAGGTCTCCCACGTGGGTACAGGGGCCCAAGGACCTAGGCCATCTTCTACTTTCTGAGGCCATTTCAGAGAGCTGGATGGGAAGTGGAGCAGCTGGGACTTGAACCGGTGCCCAAATAGGATGCTGACACTTCAAGCAGTGGCATTACCTGCCATGCCACAGCGCCGGCCCCAGATAACATATATCGAGCACAATGTCAGACCCATACAAAAAATGCTTCATTTAATTCTCACAACAGTCATAGGAGGTAATTAAGTCGATTATTTCCAGCTTATAGATGAGGAGACAGGCTTGACTTGTGTTAACCTTGGGTAACTTGTGTAAGGCCATAGCTAGATTGGTGGTGCTGTTAGAATTGGTTTCCAGACAGTGGCTTCTATAGCTTAAATTCAGAGCTGCTATGCCATGCTGCCTCATCTGAACCTACTTCACAAAATCTAGTAACAAATCCATGTATTTTAGTGGAAAAATGTGGGGAGAAAGTAAGAAATAGCGTTTATTCTCTAAGAAATGAAAGTAATCACTGAGTGTATCCATGAGAGGAACTCTTCAAGATTTCCTCAGGCTATAACTAGGTAATAAAATATGCAATGTGTATGATAAATAAGGTAGGCCTTTCAGAATATAATATGACCTTAGACAAGACACCCAGCAGTCTTGCATTTCCTAATTAGTATAATGATGGTTAGAGACTAAGTGTGAGGGGAGGAAAGATTTCATTCCTTTGGGTCTTTTCTTGGGGTGGGAGGAGGGAGGGGAGAAGAAAGAGAAACTCTGAGAAACCCTGCCCTCCTCTTGCCCTTGTCTTTACATAGCTAGGACTTTACCAGAAACTAGCTTTTACACACATATGAAGTCTTACATTATGTGCTAGAGAGAATGATGTTGTCATCCTTAAAGCTTTCTCAAGTTTCTGTGTTCCTGTGGTACTTGGGGACTGTTCCCTAGGCAGTGGCAGAGCTAGCTCTTCTTTTATACAAGGGTACTTCAGGGGCTGACACTGTGGTATAGTGGGCTAAGCCTCCACCTGTGGTGCCAGCATCCCCTATGAGCGCCATTTTGAGACCCGGCTGCTCCACTTCTGATCCAGCTCTCTGCTAATGGCCTGGGAAAGTGGTGGAAGGTGGCCCAAGCGCTTGGGCACCTGCACCCATGTGGGAGACCTGGGAGAAGATACTGGCTCCTGGCTTTGGACTGGCCCAGCTCCAGCTCCAGCCATTTGGGGAGTGAACCAGCAGATGGAAGACCTTTCTTTCTGCCTCTGCCTCTCTCTATAGCTCTGCCTCTCAAATAAATA